GCAATATATATCGCTCTCCGGTGTCGGAAGGCAAAATGTATGCCACTTTTAGTGGTAGTACAAGCCCCAGTATCTGGCATTTTCCTTCTACTATAATTGGTAGTTGGTTGCTAAAAGCTTAGCACTCCTCGTGCAGGTGTAACGTCGGGGCGCAAAATCACTTGTATACGACTTGAATACTGGCCAGGGGGTTGTATCCAGTAGAGCAGCTCTTCGCTGCGATCTGTTGAGACTTAGCCCTTGATCGGATGATTTGTCTTTTTTATATACTATAGACCTGTTTATTTTTTTACTTTCGGGCAATATGAAACCCTATCATTGATTCAATTGTGATGCCCCTTATTATGCACCATATAAGGGGCGCAAAAACCCGTTTAATGATAAATTTCGGGTTTTATGAAATTTTGAAAATTTGCTATGCTAAGAAGGATTTTTTTCGGCTTCGGGGTTTTAATAGTTTTTAGTTATAAATTATTTGGACCTTTGATATATTAATGCTAAGTTTACCGAAAAGATTTGAGAAATTTCGGGTTTTATGAAATTTTGAAAATTTGCCTTTGGGGTGTGGTGCTATGCTACGCATTACTAGACATCTCTTTCGACACCTCCAAAGAACCACTGCTATTCTCAAGCTAATTCCCGTCCCTTGTGGTAATTAGGCTTGCATAACCGTTTCGTCAGTATCGATGTACCTACTAAAATAAATAAAACTTGATAAAACCAATTTTTCTGAATGATTAAGAAAATAAGCTACTGCTATGTATGAAATGCTTGACTTGAACTAGAAACAAATTACTTGCAAAAATGTTTTAAAAGTACCCGCGGGGAACTACTTATTGAAATTTTTTTAATTATTTTGGGTTAGTGTAGATACTAACTATTAATGCTTAAGAATCCGGGTGGCTAAATAAAAATTATACAATCGTGTAGAGGATAAAATTTCGGCTTTTTAGGCTCCGACTCGAAAGGTTCAAAGCTTCAAACCATTGGAACGGTTGAGTCTTCCCTCATTTTCCTTATTAAAGAGAGATTTTCTTCTTATTAAGGAGAAAAATGAGACTCGCGTCTCCATTTTTCCTTTCCTCTTCTTTTCCCATATTGGTTAAAGAAAGAGAAAAAGAATAGAGGAAAGAGAAGGAAAAGGCAACACTGCCTTCTCCTCTTTTCATTTTTAATCCACATTAGGTGAGAAGGCAGTTTTGTCTTTTCATTTTCTTTCCTCTCTTCTTTTTCTCTTTCTTTAACCACGATTGAAAAAGAAGGGGAAAGGAAAAAAGGAGCATGGGAGTCTCATTTTTCTCCTTAATAAACGAAAAATCTCTTTATGACAGACCCGCCGCTTCAGAAGCAAAAACTTTGAATTCTATAACTTATCGGAATGGGGGTCAGGGCCGAAAAAGAATACAAGAGATAATAAAAATGAGGGAAGACTCGACTGTTCCAATAGTCTGAAACATTGATCAGATTCGGAGATAGGAGCCAAAAATACCAATAGACTATCGACTATGCTCTACACGATGGTATAATTTCTATTTAAAAATTTTTACTCGTTTCGGAAGGTTCCCTTGTTAGCATGTGAAAAACCTATTATAATTTACCTAAGTGATAATTTTCAGGGCCAGTAAAAACAAGGAATACCGGTATCTTTTTATTTTAAGTGTGAATTCGATATTTACTTTGGTACCATTCGTTAGAGGACTACTGCCTTCGTATCGCGAAATGCTATCCGTTTTTGCAAAATGACTTTGAGTCGAGTAGTTTGAAGCTGAAATAGTTCTCTCACCATTGCAAAACAATATAAAGCAGAGAGAAGGAAAAAATAGTTTATTCAATTTCGGTGGGTCTGAACCCCGGCCCTGAAAATTCGATCGGCTTCTTCCCCGCTAGTCTTCTTCCCCGACGAGCTCTTTCGAATTGGCCCAGCAAAAATACCTTCTATAGGTCACAATATGCCGAATAACATATATTCAGAGCCGAACGGAGTCTGTTCCCTTGAAACTAATTTTACCCTCAAACATCCCAATTACATAAATTTTGATAGGCCATAATTCGACGGGGCCATTTTTTAATAAAACATCACTTCGCAAGAGGAAGTCGGGAGTCCTCTATCGAATGGTACCAAAAATATAACAAATTCACACGTACAGTAAACAATATTCCCATGTTAGTTAATAATAACCCAAAAATTTAAAATTAAACTTGCAAAAATACCACCAACAGCAGCACAGACAGCAATTGAGGTTGCGCAATTACATGTCTAGACGCTATAATAGCAGGCAGGTCTATCTGGTCAGAATGCGTGGACGGATATGAACGTGTGAGGTGTCATTCGACTCATGTCAGAACGAAGAGTTGAGTCGAACTAGGGGTGGGAGAAGTTGATCCGATACTTATGGACAGAGATATGCTCGATCGAAAATCTAAAACCATAGGGTAAAAAACCATACAAGCTCATTTTTGGGTGAGAAATCAGAATTTGAAAATAATAGCTCAATCGCAAGAGTTCGCCGATTGAGTCGAATGACTCCTCATACGTCCATATCCGTTCACTCATTAAAGATCGAAAAAATTCGGAAAAACCAAACCCCAAATTTTAAACTGAACCTTGTTGGAACATCAATTATTCACACAAGTTAGAAAACATTGCCAAATTCAAATCCAACTTGTTGTAATAGCTCAATCAAAAGAGCGGAATTTGTAATAAAGGAATTGAAGCATCAGCAAAATTTTTTGTTTAGTTTCTGAAAAAAACAAATTTATTTAAAAAATCGGGTGAGAGACTGCAAAAAACTTGGAAGGGAAACAGAGATAATCGAAAACATGAAGTAAAGGAAGCCATTTTTGAATTCAAACCGAAAGAGTAGTTTTTCTCTCTTTCTCTAATTCCCTTACTATTTCTTTTCGTTAGAGCGGGACACTTTGTCGCGAGTTTCTTTTTTCGCCCAACTTTATTGCAATGATTAAAAATGGGGTTTCGAACAAGGAATCAAATTAACAAGAAATGGATTAGTCATGTTTTGGCGTGCAGGGAACGCGGAAATGTTTTGGTGTGATCGAGTTAAAGCGCTGATAACGTTTACGAACGTTTGAATATCGCTCGAACGTTTTTCCCAAATAATTTTATTTCCCAACTAATTTCCACAACGTTTCATTCTTTGCAGAAATGTAGAGAAGGGCATTTTCTCGTACAGCCACACATTCATATAAAATGTTGCCCTAAGACACAAACGTTTTTATAACCTAATTTGAAAATTAATCCCGTCTAAATTTGAATGGGTGTGTAATAAAGAAAAAGAATGCCCTTCTCATCATATTCCGAAAAATTAAATTGACTACCCCAATGATACCCAGTAAATTTAGAATCGAACATTACCGTCGACAAATCATTACATGCCGAAACAGACGCTACAAATCATTGCATTACCAGAAATGTACATGGGATAAAAAAATTCGGATAGGTTCGATGTTTTAAACTGGCAAAATTTTTCCTTTTTAGTGCCCGGTAAAATTTTGGAGGCCAAAAGGACAGTTTCGAATTTCTTGAAGAACCCGAGAGAGACCCATTCCTGATACATTTCCTGGTGAGGGCAAAAACCCTACGAAAGTATTTTAAACCTCCAAAAATTAAAAAGAAAACCTTGTAACGACTAGAAACCTTTAATCATTTAAAAACCAGAATGTCATCAAGGAAAGCCACTTCTCCATCTCATTTTATCGTAGGCACTAGTAGAATGGTAGAGCAGACACTTTCATAATTTAAAGATTCTTAAATTTCTAAAAAACAAGAAAAATTAAAAGAAAAAGAGAGAAAAAATACAAACTAAAATTTAAAAGACGAAAACAAAAACAGTCAAGTTCCTTTCTATGTCTTCTATATTATCTATAAAATAAATATACATTATGCCAAAATTGGCTATATTCAAATTTAATTCAAAATTGTCTCAACGAAGTAAAATTTCAAAATATCTAAAAGAAAAATAAATACGAGTGATACGACTTTCCGTCAATACTTTTCGTCAATGGATTTGAAAAAAATTCTGTAATAACAGAAAATGTGGAGTATTTTAAGTGCGTTTGCGACATTTGCATTGCCGACATTTGCGCCGAATATCAACACAAAAATTTTCAAATACCTGGGATCTTTTTTTTAAAAAACTTAATTTTAAAAATCCAATAATAAAATATTAAATTTATATATTTAAATAACAAGCATTTTAAGCGAATTTAAAATTAATAATTTAAGCGAAAGAAGCTATATAAAAATTAGGGAAAATTGTAAAAAAAAAAAATTAAATATAAAATGAGCAAGAAACATTCACAACGATGGCTTTTTAAAAACAATTTCTAGCAGAAAAGAAAATGAAAAAATTAAAGGAAATTTAAGTAGGGTGTGCGCAAAAATAAAAAGTTTCTCAAGTAAAACGCCATTAACAAAAATGGGGGTTTGAAAACTGGAAAAAAATTAAAAAATAAAAATTTTTGCGCACATTAATTTGTAAGGAACATTAAATTATTAGGGTAGGGACGAGTACGAGTTTTGCGTTGATTTTTGTCCGTGTGTTGCGTTTTCTCTTATGCCCGTCCCTGATTGTTAGTATAATCAAAATCTCATTTTTATGTAAATCTCACTATAAGATACACCATTAAGTAAATTGTAATTTAGGATTCATTTTTTAGGATTCTCTGGGTCCATTAACAGAATAGTTAAGAAGGAATCAACCCCTGCTTGGACATGATCTTCTGAGTGAGGTGGGCCCAGAGGGAAGAGCAACAAAAGCAAATCTCCTATTCAAAATGCCCCTTAAAAATTCGGAAAATTTGTAAGTCTCAAGGGGCCATCTTACTTATAATGAGGTTAAACGTAATTATTTAGTTCACAACCTAAATACTCTTAAAAAAATTTTTTTTATTTATTTTGCGTTGCTTTTTCGTCTTCTGTGAGATCCCTCCATTAAAAAATGTTTCTTCCTGTCCTTCTCCCACAAAATCTCTCCATATTTTTATAAACCCCCAAAACTTTCTTCCATTTCTTCCCTTTCTCTAGCATAATGTGCTTGATGTAATTCTAATTGTGGCCTTTTTCTATTAAAAAATCCAAAATGCCAACAACACAAAATTAATATTCCAAGTAATCCAAAACCAATTAATATAGACAATAATAATATCCACAAATTTATGTGATCCTCTTGTTGGGGTCTGTCTGGATATGCTCTAGTTGTAATTCTGGCAAAATTGTTACCTGAAAAAATTGGAAAATGGGGGAGTTTAAAGATAGTAGAACAGTCAAAATTAAAAAACAGAATTTTCAAATCAGAACTCAAAAATCACAATTTTTAGGATCAGAATAAAATCAGAATCTTTAGATTAGAAAATCAGAATATTCAAATCGAAACTTTAAAACGAGAATTTCAGAACAGAATAAAAAAATCAGAATTTTCGAGTCAGAATTAAAATCAGAATTTCAGAACAGAATAAAAAATCAGAATTTTCGAGTCAGAATTAAAATCAGAATTTCAGAACAGAATAAAAAATCAGAATTTTCGAGTCAGAATTAAAATCAGAATTTCAGAACAGAATAAAAAATCAGAATTTTCGAGTCAGAATTAAAATCAGAATTTCAGAACAGAATAAAAAATCAGAATTTTCGAGTCAGAATTAAAATCAGAATTTCAGAACAGAATAAAAAATCAGAATTTTCGAGTCAGAATTAAAATCAGAATTTCAGAACAGAATAAAAAATCAGAATTTTCGAGTCAGAATTAAAATCAGAATTTCAGAACAGAATAAAAAATCAGAATTTTCGAGTCAGAATTAAAATCAGAATTTCAGAACAGAATAAAAAATCAGAATTTTCGGATCAGAATAAAAAATCAGAATTTCAGAACAGAATAAAAAATCAGAATTTTCGGATCAGAATAAAAAATCAGAATCTTTGGGTCAGAAAATCGGAATTTTCAAATCAGAATTTTCAAATCAGAATTTCAGAATAGAACTAAAAATCTCAATTTTTGGACCAGAAAATTCAGAACTTTCAAGTCAGAATTTCAAAACAGAACAAAAAAAATCAGAATTATTTACTTTTTTCTTCCAAAATTCCTTGTGACGGGTCCAATTCAATAAAACCTTCAGAGGTTATAGCTATATAATCAAATTGACGGTAATCTTCAGCAGAAAAAGTCCAATTCCATAAACGAGCTCTAATTTCAATTAAAGCAGAATCATTACTTCCAATATAGTCAAAATGGCAAGTTAATTGAACACAACGGGCACTGTTGTCCTTACAGTTCTGAAAATAATTTTTTTAATAATCAGAATAAAAAAATCAGAATTTTTAAGATCAGAAAAAAATCTGAATCTTCTGATCTGAAAAATTATAAAAAAATTTTAATCAGAATAAAAATCAGAATTTAAGATCAGAATTTTTGTGAGCAGAATTTAAATCAGAATTTTTGGGAGCAGAATTTAAATCAGAATTTTTGGGAGCAGAATTTAAATCAGAATTTTTAGGAGCAGAACAAAAACCAGAATTTTTAGATCAGACCTCAAAAACAGAATTTTAAGATCAGAATAAAAATCAGAATTTTTAGGAGCAGAATAAAAAATCATAATTTTAGATCAGAATTTAAATCAGAATTTTCGAATCAGAATAGAAAATAAGAACCTTCTGATTCTGGTTGAAGTAACCCAATCTTTAATTAAAAAATATAAAAACCCCTTACAATATCAACAACTTTAACCCTTTCACCAGATTCTTCATTAATCCATTTTGGCCATAAAGGGCTATTTAATTGAAGAATAGATCCTTGTCTAATTAATTTTAAATTTTCCTCCTCTTCTTTTGTTGAATTAATTAAAATTAAATTTCGAGGTTTTCGTTGTCGATAGGGGGATTTAGACAAATAATAATCCAATTTTAGGGTTGCATCATTGTAAATATTTAAAGGATTAATTAATTTAGAGGAGGGTAAATGAGTGTTTATTATAGGGCAACGTCTAAATTGGCCATTATGTCGAATTAAGGGTTCTTCTAATATATAAAGTAGCCAGTCAGAATTGGGTAAAGAGGTGTCTAAACGTAAAGGCCAGTCAATCTGAAAGATAAATTTTTTTTATTTTTTTTTGACCTTAAGAAAATTTTTAAAAAATTTAGTAACCTTAAAAAAATTTTTTTTTAAATTTATTAACCTTAAAAAAAGTTTTTAAAAATAAAAAAAAACTTTTTTCGCTAAAAATAAAATTGTTTTCCAGCAAAAGGACTCGAACCTCCAACCCTTTTCCAATGAAAACCCAAAACTTACCAACTTAACCATGAAAAATATTTTTGAAATTTTTAAAAATTTGAAAAATCTTATTAACCTTAAAAAAATTTCTTTACTTGAAACAAATTTTTTTCCTCGAAAATAAAGTTGTTTTCAAACAAAAGGACTCCAACCTTTAACCCTTACCTAATTAAAATCCAAATTTAAAATTAACAGCAATAAGATATTTTCTAACTTTCAGAAAAATATTTTTAAAAAAATTTTTAAACCCTCCATAAAAAAATTTTTGACTTTGTTTAAAAAATTTTTTAAAAATAAAACTTTACTCCTCAAAAATAAAATTGTTTTCCACCAAAAGGACTCGAACCTCCAACCCGTTTCTAGTGAAAACCCAAACCCTACCAACTTAACCTCAAAAAAATATTTTTCAAAATTTTTAAAAATTTTCACAAAAAATCACCTTTAAAGTAACATTCCTCGCATAAAACGGCCCCTTATTAGTTAAAGTATAAGCATGGATCAATTGCGGTCCAATATCAAATTCATCTTTAGGCGCATAAATTCCTCTGCTAAAATGGACTATTGGGGGACGAGAGCCCCCATCTAATTGAAGATCGGCCTCTTTAATTAATAAAACTTCTGCCTTCCAAAAATTATCTTTAGGGAAGTCTTCTACAGAAGAAGAATTAACAAAAGCTTTAAATTGTAGTGATGCGGAAACACGTTCTGAACTGCTTCGGACAAGTTTGAAGAGTAAATCGAAGCCCAGCTTTAAATTAAATTTTTTTGAGAAATTAAATTAAAATTTATCAATCGCCCCTGTATAAAATGTAGGTACCCCCAAAATATATAAAAATTATTTTCAATTAGAATAAATCAGTCTGTCCGCAATTTAAATATTTTTGCGGACAAAAAAAAATTTTGCGGACAAGAAATATTTTTGCGGACATAAGTCAGCAATTCATAGGGAAAGTATAGAACTTTTATTTGCTCAAAGAAATTCCAAGATAGAACCTCTTAAAATAATCCTACCCACCAAAAAATAATTTGCGGACAAACTTTGCGGACAATTCCCCCCAAAAAATTTTTTTAAAAAACCTTTTCTCCAGCCTCCAACGGATTAGCTAAAGCCAAAACAGCTTTCCCCAATTCCCTCTTTTCAATATCCACTTTATGCTCATTTAAATTAAATTCTCCCCTTTTAACAACACTAGGCTCATCCAATTCTGTTTCATCATATTCCAAATATAATTTGGCTAAATAAGCACGTTCTGCACGATTTTCAACTAGCAATCTGAGAATCAAGACATCTTTTTCTGTTACTTTTGCTTGGTATAATCCATCAGAACGTTTACTATAAAAAATTAATTTAAAAAATTTTTTTGCGGACAAAATTTGCGGACAAAAAAATTTTTGCGGATAAATTTTGAGGTCAAAAAAATTTTTGCGGACAAAATTTGCGGACAAAAAAATTTTTGCGGATAAATTTTGAGGTCAAAAAAATTTTTGCGGACAAAATTTGCGGACAAAAAAATTTTTGCGGATAAATTTTGAGGTCAAAAAAATTTTTGCGGACAAAATTTGCGGACAAAAAAATTTTTGCGGATAAATTTTGAGGTCAAAAAAATTTTTGCGGACAAAATTTGCGGACAAAAAAATTTTTGCGGATAAATTTTGAGGTCAAAAAAATTTTTGCGGACAAAATTTGCGGACAAAAAAATTTTTGCGGATAAATTTTGAGGTCAAAAAAATTTTTGCGGACAAAATTTGCGGACAAAAAAATTTTTGCGGATAAATTTTGAGGTCAAAAAAATTTTTGCGGACAAAATTTGCGGACAAAAAAATTTTTGCGGATAAATTTTGAGGACAAAAAAATTTTTGCGGACAGAAAAATTTTTGCGGACAAAATTTGCGGACAAAAAAATTTTTGCGGACAAAAAAAATTTTGCGGATAAATTTTGCGGACAAAAAAAAATTTCCGTAAAATTAATCCGCAAGAACTTGTCCTCAAAAAATTAATATTCAAAAAACTTAACGATAAATCAAGCAAAGCCCCACTCAAAACCAAATTTGTGTGACATTCATTATCATCTCCGCATAATTTATCGAAAGCAATTCCAAAAATATGAAATGTTTGGTCTGGGCTAATAGCTGGTAATAAAACGTTGTTATTATTAATTGTTGTTGTTAATTGAGGTTTGCGTAGAGAAATTGAAAAGTTAAAACGTAAAGGATTTGTCCAGTCTTCGTTTCCGCTCTGAAAAAAAATTTTTTTAAATAAATTCTGAAAAATCAGAATTCAAATCAGAACGATTCTGAGAAATCAGAATTTAAACCAGAATATTTCTGAAAAATCAGAATGCAAATCAGAACATTCCAAAAAATCAGAACAGAAATCGGAATGATTCTGAAAAATCAAAACTCGAATCAGAACGATTCTGAAAAAATCAGAATTAAAATCAGAACAATTTTGAAAAAATCAGAAACTCAAATCAGAACACTTCCAAAAATCAGAAAATTAAAAAAATCAGAACTAACCGGAATATATAACTTTTGATGGCTAATTTCTTCCCTAGTAACAGCATTAGATCCACACGGCCAACTAATTTTATTATCCCCATTAGAAGTAAAAAGAGCACGTGGGAGAACACCTCTAGCAAAAGGCAAAACTTCAAGTTTACACAAAAATGGGGATTGTCCAATACCAAACAATTTATTTAATTGTTTTAAAGCTGTCAAATTTCGATCAGATAAAAATATTGAAGTTGACAAGGAAAAACTGTGGAAAGAAAGAGGGAAAAATTAGAAAAAATTATAGGAAGAAAATTAAATTTTAAAAATTAATAAACGTCCAAATTTTCATTAAATTTATCTTAAAATTTGGAAAAAAATTTTTTTGGTAATTTTAGTTAATTTTTAACGAATTTTAATTTAAATAGCCTTGCGCTTTTTAAAATAAAACAATTGCCCAACAGTGGGGTTCGAACCCTCGATGATTTCCCATACTAACCAAGAATTTTCCAACTACACCACAACAAACATTATTTAAAATAGGAAGGGGGAGAAGGGTTTTTTAACCAAAAAATATTTTAAAAATTCCAAAAAAATTTTTTATAAATTTCCCTACTTATATTTTACTAATTAAATTAAAAAAATAAATTTAAACAAACCAGCTTGGTCCCAAAGCACACTCCCCCCAATCACTTCTAGAAGTACTTATTTTAACATGTTTTTGTTCAAATTGATGACCCAATTTAACTTCCAAAACTGGTTTTGAACGAAAAATTATAACAACATTCGTTTCTGGTGCTCCAACTTAAAAAAATTTTTTTTTGAATTTTTACTGCCCAAATTTCCGTTACGCTCAATTTGCCCTAATCCTTAATTTTCTATTTTCCAATAACTCGCAAAGAAAGCTGGCTAGCAAATCGAAAATGGATGAAAACTCACGAGTAAGTTTTGGCAGTTCCTGGGAAATCTACTGATATCCGGAATCAATATCTGAACCAAAAATTTCCGGATATCCGAGGTTTTTTCAGTTCCGGATACCCGGAACCGCCAACCTTACTCACGAGATCAACAAGCTATAGTTTCTATTTTTAGTGTTAATCTCAAGAGTATAGTTAATCAATAATTGTAAGACAAGGCTCAAGCTAATCTGAATTTGCAACTAGAAGAACTAAAATCAGAAAATTTCAGAATTTTTAGACCAGAATATTTTCAGAAAAAATCAGCAAAATACAAAAACATGACGATTTTGCGGACAAATTTTTGCGGACTTGTCTAATTTTGCGAATTTTTTATTAAAAATAAATTTAACAAAAAAAACCTATCAATTCAGCATATCCATCCCCATCCAAATCAACACCCTTTGCCAAAGAAAACCCAAAAGATTTAAAAGAATTGGGTTTATTTGGTAAATTATAGGCATAAATTTGTTGAGCAGGTTCAGTTGAAAAGTGTGCACGTTCATTGCCGTGAAAGACAAAAACAGCGCCGGAACCAGAAGAATGGTAAGGGGCGCCAACAACAAAATCTGTGTTAAAAAATATTTTTTTCTTTAATATTTTTGAGTATTCTGAAAATTCAGAATATTCTGGTTGTTCTGAAATTTTGAATAGAAAAATTTCAGAACAACCAGAATTTAAAATCAGAAAAAATTTTAAAAATCAGAATTATGATATATTGACAAAAAAATTCTGACTGTTCAGGAATGTTCTGGTTCTTCTGAAAATTAAAACAGAATTTTCAGCACGCCAGAATTTAAAATCAAAACTTTTTTTTAAAAATCAGAATTCTGATATATTGACCAAAAATTCTGACCGTTCTGGAATGTTCTGGTTCTGGAATATTCTGATTTTTTGGAAATTAAAACCAGAACTGGCAGAACGACCAGAATTTTGGATCAGAATTTTTCCTAAAAATCAGAATTCTGATATAATGACCAGAAATGTTGCCCGTTCTGGAATGTTCTGGTTCTGGAATATTCTGATTTTACCAGAATTTCATGAACGACCAGAATTTAAAATCGGAATTCTTCCGAAAAATCAGAATTTTTTTTCAAAATATCACTTCAAAAAAAAATCAGAAACCTTTAAATCCATTTTTGTCATTATTTAAATTTCCAATAGAAGCTAAAGACGCCCCAAAATGTGAATGTCTCGTCGTTCCTCTGATTATAATTGGGGAATAAAAAATTAAATTGTTTGATGATTTTTGTCCTTTGTCTAATTTTATTCCTTTAGAAAAATAAATATAAACAGCCCCTCCTTTTTCATTTTCTTCTTCATCATAAAAATATTCAAAAGGAGCACCAACAAGTAAATCATCAAATCTAGTAAAGAAAAATTTTTTATGTTATATTTAGAGGGTGGAGCAGGGCTGCACGAAATTGAAAAAAAAATTCCGCAACTCGCAATTTTTTTAAAAATCCGCAAACGCAATCTCCAACTCGCAATTGCAAAAACCCCATAAATTTACGCAATTGCGTTCAGCCCTGGTGTGGAGAAATCGAATTTACGGGACCCCATAACAGGATGTCTTCCAAAAGGTTGAACAACGGGACAGGAGCCATCGGGGCTAATCCAAAAATTCTGAGATTTTCACTTAGCAGAGTATTTTAAGTGTTTAATGGAGTTAAAGGGATACCGGGATTAAAGAGATATAGGGAGGATTTGGATGTCAGAAAAATTCTTCGATATCGTGCCCATATACCTCTATGTATATTCCCTTTAATCCCTTCAACTGCGGGATATCCCTCTTAATCTATCCGAATGTTATAAAAAATCGTGGTGTTATAAAAAATCAAAAAAATTTAAAAATATACCCATCATTATTTAAATCCAAAACAGCCAAACTACTTCCAAAACCAGAACCTAATTGACGCCCAGAAAGAATAAAATGGTTATCTAATAAACCAAGATTTGGGCCTTCTTCAGCATGAAAATTGCGTCGAAAAGGAAGAAAAATGACAGCACCGGTTTGATTGAAACGTGTAGCACCGCTAACAACCTTTTAAATTGTATGGAAAATCAGAAAAATTTAAAAAAGAGAAGAAAAATTGATGAGAGACATTTGGTCCCAGCGAAACATTTTTTATCATAATTTTACTGAACAAAGTCAGATCGAATCAGTTTTGGTATCATTCGATTTGTCTTGCATAGACGAATCGAATGGGGCAATCCCGGAGAATTGGGGTTTCTTCGAAAAAAAAGTTTAAAAATAAGAAAAAGGATTTTTCTAGGGTAAAAAAATGTGCTGATTACGAAACCGAGCTCGGATTTTAGAAAAGTCGAATCCCGAACCCAAATTCGGACATTCGACATTTTGGGGAAAATTTGACCCTATCCCAATATAAGGGCGGAATCGTTTTTTTCCATTACTTTTCATTACTTTATAAAAATGGTCAATTTTCCTTAAAGTTGATGTATGTTGATGTTTGCCTTAAGGAAGAATGGAGAACAGACAATTACAGAAACACGGCGTACACAGAACACGGACGTGTACGTCCGTGTGTTGTCTGTCCGAGTCCGTCCGTGTTTTGGACAAACAAAACACGGACAGACAACACACGGACGGTCTCGGACAGACAACACACGGACGGACACGGACAGACAAAGCTCGGACGAACACGGGCAGACTCGGACAGACGTCCTCCATTCTTCCTTAAGGCAAACATCAACATACATACATCAACTTTAAGGAAAATTGACCATTTTTATAAAATAATGAAAAGTAATGGAAAAAAACGATTCCGCCCTTATATTGGGATAGGGCCGAAAATTTCACAAAGCGCAAATTGGTCAAATAATAGCTCATTCGAAAGAGCTCGACGAGCTGAGTCGAATGACACCAAAATCACCGTGAATGAACAAGAACAGACAAAGTTACAACACAAAAAACATAGGTTGAAGTTGTTAGTTTTTTGAGTCATAACTTCGCGAGATCTTTTTCAATCACGGTGATTTTGGTGTCATTCGACTCAGCTCGACGAGCTCTTTCGAATGAGCTATTATTTGTATATTCGAATTTTTCAGCCAAGAATCAGCTTGGTCCCCCCTATGGTTTTTCGATTTTGTAAGACCTATATTCGGGTTCGGGTGCGACTTTTTCAAAATCCGAGCTCATATTCGTAATCAGCACATTTTTTTACCCTAGAAAAATCCTTATTCTTATTTTTAAACTTTTTTTTCGAAAAAACCCCTATTCTCCGGGATTGCCTCGAATGGTATCAGAATCAACTAGATATAACATTTCTCTGCCGAGTAGGGAGGAAAAAATAAAAAATGGGACAAACTGTCTTTCCGACCTAGCTAGGATTATTTTTTGCATTTTTGAAAGGTAGCAGTCAAAAATTAACTTTTTAATGTCCAAAATACCTCTAAAATATTTTAAAAAATTTCAAACCGTAAAATTCTTTTCGTCTTCATGAGAAAAACCGAATCGCCCATAATGGACAGAATATCCCAAATAATCGTGTGAAGCCAACAAAGCAAGCACACCTCCCTGATTTTTGTCTAATTCCATTGTTCGACGGTCCACAGAGTCCACAAAACCTCCAGATCCAACAAAATCGTATTTTGCTAGAAAATTTTTAATTTTTTAAAATTTTTAACAGAAAAAACCAAAAACTCCTCCCGTCCATTTTCTTGCACCAGGAATTCCTGTAAGAGTAACATTTGAGTCGATAAATGCTGAGAAGCCTTGTTCACAAGATCCATAGTCATTATGCTTAAAAAGCAAAATTTTTACAAGGAACCATATCGAACTGTCAGGAAAAATTTTCAAATAAAAATTATCCCATCGTGTAGAGCATGGAAGAAAACTTCATACGTATTTTTTCTTTTTTGGCCCTAACCCCCATTTCGAAAAGTTATAGGGCTTCAAAGTTTTCGAATTTTGGAGTGGTTGAGTCGCCCCCATAAAGAGAAATTTTTCTTTTATTAAGGAGAAAAATAAGACTCCCATCTTCCTTTTCTCCTTTCCTTTTCTTTTCCCATGTTTGTTAAAGAAAGAGAAAAGGAGGAGAGAGAAAAGAAAAGGAAAAGGCTACTCTGTCGTCTCCTCTTTCGTTTTTAATCCGCAATGGAAGAAAGGCAGAGTAGCCTTTTCCTTTCTTTTCTCTTTCCTCCTTTTCTCTTTCTTTAACAAACATGTGAAAAGAAAAGGAAAGGAAAAATTGAGAAGAGGAGTCTCATTTTTCTCCTTGGGAAGCAAATAATAAGAAAAGTGAGGGCGACTCAACCGCTCCAAAATTCGAAAACTTTGAAGCCCTATAACTTTTCGAAATGGGGGTTAGGGCCAAAAAAGAAAAAATACGTATGAAGTTTTCTTCCATGCTCTACACGATGGTATAATTTTTATTTGAAAATTTTTCCTGACAGTTCGATATGGTTCCTCGTTAGAAAAAAATTTTTGAAAAAAAAATTTTTTTACTCTGTCCTTCTTCGGCAAAGGTCCACATGTATTGATTATTCCCTTGTGGTTCAAATCGGCTCCAAGTAAGTAACAAACGCCTAAATATAATTTTAAAAAGTCATATTTTTCAAGTCAAAAATGCTTTGAATTAAAATAAAAAAAAATTTAAAATTTGCGGAAAATCCGCAAATTTTGTCCGCAAATCAAATTATGGGAAAAAACAACGTAAAAAGGTTTTTAAAAAACCTAGAATTTTCAGAATGTGTTAAACAATCAATTTTTGTCTATTAATTTGGCAACGGTCATGGAGTGAGTCAGAAGAAAATTTTACGAAAAGTTACGGAAATACATAGATTTTTCCCTATTGTTAGCTAGAGGAAAGAGGAAGGGATGGTGAATTTACAAAAAAAACTAACAAAATTCTCTAATTTTGGAGAAAATAAGCTTGCTAAATCCCTTTTGTAAAGAAAATGGGATTTTTATGCGGACAATTTTTGCGGACAGAATTTGCGTATTGAAGAAATTTTTGCGTAGTTAAAAAATAGATTTTTTGGAAAGAACATAATTGGAGAGAAACCCATTAAAATGGAGAAAACCCATAAAACCCCCCACAAAAAATTTAACAAACCGTCAGTATAAGCATTTTGTCCCCACCGCAAAAGGGGAGCACAAACCAAAGCTTTACTGCTTTCCTCTTCCCTCATTCCACTACTATAGACAGAAAATCCCAACAATTGTCCATTCTTTCCTTCAGCGTGTAAATGTTTACCATGCAACAAATTTGGAGGTTTTTTGGCATCTTGTAAATTTAGGTACTCAATTGAAAGAAGTTGGCATTGATTTCCATTGGAAGAGTCTGGTTTGCAGGCATAGACTGCTCCAGATTTTAAAGTTCCTGGTTGACCTGAAGTCCATTTTGGAGCGCCGACAAGGATGCTGAAAAATAGGTTACTTTCCGTTATGTTTCTAAAAAGTCCGCAAGTTTTGTCCGCAAAATTTTATTTAGTAAAATTTAATAGAAAAAAGAGCTCCCGCCCATAAAGTCGTCTGTAAAAACCAAAGGAACCTTTTTTTGACCCGAAATTCGATCAGAAGAAAATTTTGAAAACCGAAGAAACCCGACTCGACTTTTTAATTAACCCAAGCCATCCATAATTTGAACCCAAAAAAGTCCGCAAGTCTTGTCAGCAAATAAAATTAATGGAAAATGTGAAAATCTAAAGTAACTATAAAATTCAAAGGAAAGTATGGAAAAAAGCTTATTGTTAAAGGATTTAGTACGCCTAGAGTTAGTTCTGAATAACATTCTCCATTTTTTTTTTGATTTGTCTAGAGTTCTTATCTATCGAACAATTTTGCCCAATTTTAAATAGACAAGGGTCCCTAAATAAAGTCCTTGTAAATAAAAATTAACTTTTTTGGAAGCACAAAGAGAAAAATCTCGGAAAACTAACTCCAATTTTCAAAAAATATTTTTTAAAAAACTAAACACAAACCTCGGACCATCACTCCGAAAATGGGCAGCTACAGAAAATCCAAACCACGAATTAGGCGAACCAAATTTATAAATAGGATATTCTGTGTCCAAATTGAAGAGATTAACAAATGGCAGTTGACAAAAGAGAAGAAAGACAAAATTGATAAGAGAAGACATCACAACCAAAATAAAGGCCAAGAGCTACCTGGCAGGCATTTTAAATAAATAAACTGAAAAAAAAATTTAAAGAAAAATTAAAGGAAAAATGGTACTTGTAGGTTATTCCTACAGACTTTTTTTTGGATTTTTTGCGGACTTTTTCTGCGGGCATTTTTGCGGACTTTTTTGCGGACTTTTATTTTTGCGGACAATTTTTGCGGACTCTTTTTTTGCGGACTTTTTTTGCGGACACTTTTTTGCGGACTTTTATTTTTGCGGACAATTTTTGCGGAATTTTTTTTTGCAGACTATTTTTGCGGACTTTATTTGCGGACAATTTTTGCGAACACTTTTTGCGGAATTTTTTTTTGCAGACTATTTTTGCGGACTTTATTTGCGGACAATTTTTGCGGACACAATTGTACTCCATTTATAACCCTGTTTGATTGATTGACAAGTGCATAGGAGAGAGGGAGGAGAAAATGACCATTCCGTATACAGTTGTGTCCGCAAAACCAGTCCGCAATAAAGTCTGTAGGGATAACCCACAAGTACGAAAAAAAATAAAAAAATAAGAAAAGTTTGGAAAAACAAATGAACAAATTCAAAAAAAAATTTTCAAACTTTATTAAAAAAAATTTTTTTTTGGAATGTAAAAAGAGTCAAATTAAGAGATCAACGGGTTATATATTTATTAATATTTATTGGGACTACTAGTACCTTTATTTTTACACTAAAACTTTGATTTTGCAGCTTTTCACTTGAAATTTTGTTCAAAATTTTCTTTAATTTTCTAAAAATTTTTTTCAACAACTTTTTTCTAATTTTAAAGCTTCAAACACCCATCCTAGACCAAAATAAAAAAGCTTTTCATTAAAAGGATTCGAACCCACAACCCTTTCAGGTTAAAAGCAAAACTTTTCCAACTACACCAAACATACAACAGTTAAAAAAAGGCTGCAAAATCTTCAAGGTTTAAATAATAAATTGGAAGGGAAAAAATAAAATTTTGTTAAATTTCACCCCCATTCTTCAAAACTTTAAAAATTTAAAATAAATTTAGCAATGTTATTAAGTAAAAAAGGTCGTGCAGAAACATCTTGAAGGTAGTGTAGAAACAGTTTTTCATCATTTTGGCACATCCGAAATGTTAATTAAAGAGAAATCGTTTTCAACAGATTGATCAAATATTGGTGTCACTCCTCTAGAACGTTGTTGATTGCTAACAATTTCATCATCCCCATCTATTTTTTAATCAAATTAGACTAGGGTTGAGCGGTATCGGGATCCCGACCGGCATCGGGCGGTCTTCTACAGGTTTTTGAATACCGATAACGATTTTTTTGATACCGATACCGAAAAGTAAATCCCGATAACGACCGCTATCAATACCGAGCCGGTATCGGTATCATCATCCCTGAAAAATTAATTTTAAGGTCTTAGGTTCAACTAACACCAAAAATTTCCCTCCCAAAAAATTTCAAAAAAAAAATAGAAACCTTCACCAGCCAAATCATCCTCATCATCAATTAAAATTTCTTCTCCATCCAACAATTTATTATTATCATTATTTATTTTTTTATTAATTAAATATTCTTTTTCTTCTTTTTTTGCTTTTTCCAAAGCTTTGTTGACACTTTCAATTATTTTTTCGGACCATTCAATTCCCCCTTTCCCTCCTCTTCCTTCATTTTTAAGTTCAACTTTCAATTCTTGCCCTGTTGATAAATTTATTCCATCCATACTTAATGCTGCTAAAGCATCTAATCCAGTTTTGAAAATGATAAATAAATATTGTCCTTCTAATCTAAAAAAAATTAAAAAAAAATTTTTTGCGGACAAAATTTGCGGATTAAAAATATTGTCCGCAAAAAAATTTGCGGATCAAAATTTTATCTGCAACTTTTGTCCGCGAATAGAAAATCTCCACTTCCAAAGAAGTGGAGACAAAAATAGCCTTAAAATCACGATTTTCGCATAAATCGTGATTTTAAAAAAGTTTGCATAAGGCCTAACAATAAGGTTAATTTAACGACCTGTGTCATATATCAGACCAGAAATTCAAAAAAAAACCCCATACCAGTGGCAAAAAACTCAGAAAATTCTCAAAAAGTGCCTGATTTTGGCCCAGATCAACCTCGATTTTGGATTTTCAAAAAATATTTTACGAATCCAAAAAAAAATAAATTTGCGGACAATTTTTGCGGACTTTAAAAAATTCTTTCAAAAACTGAATTTTAAACAAATTCCTCACAAAATTACCAAAAAATAATTATTTTAAAAAATAAACAAACTTTGAAAGTTTAGGAACACTGCCAAGTTCACAAAGCTTCATAAAAATTTCATTGCACAATTGTTTTGGGAACACATTAAGAGAATTGTTAGAAATAAAGCATTGAACACAGGAGTGTGGAGGGCCAATAGAACTTGAGAAAAAAAAATTTACAAAAAAATTTTTTCAAAAAAAAAACCAAATAATATCCCGAATTATCGGCTCAGCCTTGTCAAAATCAAATTTTAAAGAATTTAATTGAAATATTGCATATACTGGACGGTGATCTGAAGTTTTTAATTCTGAACGGCCATAACTAAAAGAAAAATTTATTAGAAAAAATTTAAATAATATTTTGAAAACGTTATTTTATCAACAAAAAAAATTCCAAAAAAATCGATTTAAAAATTTTCATCAAATTTTTAGGTATAAAAAATACAAAAAAAGAATTGCTCGTCAAAATCATTGTTCCGGGTATGGAAACTTGATTTTGCACTCATGCCGGACACCTTAACCTGTCCGATTTTTCTGGATTAAGTCCGGAAAAAATCCTAAATAAAAAAAACTTGACATGGCGCCCCAAAATTCAAAACTTTGAACCCCTATACTTTTTCGAATTGGGGGTCAGGGCCAAAAAAGCCAATAATTGGCAAAAGGTTAGACTATGCTTTACAAATGGCATAATTTTTATCTAAAAATTTTTGGTCACAGTTCGTTATGGTTCCTTGTCAGGAAAATACTAATGAGAGAAAAATTTCAATGACAAAATAAAGGTCAAATTTCAAATGGGCCAAAAATTAAAAATAAAAATTAAAAAAAAATTTTTCCCCGCCCAAGACACCAAAAAATTCCCTTTAAAAAATAAAAGAACTAACTGTATTAACTGAACCAAATTATTTTTATCCATCCAAAGAACACGATCTGTCCATGCTGGGGTTCTACAAAAAAAATTTTTTTATTTAAAAATTTTTAAAAATTCCTTGCCTGCACTTATCTGAAGTATCATAATCATCACTAAAAGTATCATATTTATAAGTTGGAGGAAAATTAAGTTGGCCTTCATTGAAATTTGTAAAAGCCTGAAAAATAGAGGGATATTTCTCAACATGAAAATTTTTTGGAAACATAAAAAGTTTTCAAAAAAATTCTCAAATTGACTCTTATCCAGATTAGGTATCAATCACAAATCCAATCGAAGCCTTATAAGTTCAATTAAAATTTTATGCGTCCAACTTATAACGACAAATATTAACATCTTCGTGTTAAGAACGTCTTCCGTCTCTTTTTTTTTGTTCTTCCAGTTACGTTCTAAAATATAGGAAGACCCACACTGGTATAAAGAAGTGATTGGAACAGGGCCGTAACCAGGAAAAATTTTCGGGGATGGGAGGGGGTACAGGAGGGAATCATTTTCGGCGCCAAATTTTTGGCAATCCTCCCTGTGGATTGGATACCTAAACAAGAGCCGAAAATTTTCAAAAAAAATTCTCAAAAATTTTCTACTCACATTTCCCATATTTTTTTGTTGTAACAATTGGTCATATTCAGCAATATATTCAAAATTGTTTAAATTAATTGCTCTTTTTACTTCATCACCTTTTAATATATTTAATTAAAAACCCTTCAAAAAAATTTTTTTAGAATTTACCTGAAAGAGATATTCGATAATTAAAATCACCCAACCAAAAAACAACATCGTGATCTTGTAAGCCTCGACCCTTTAAATATATTTTTATTAGTCTAAATTTTAAGGACAGAAAGGATGAGCAAATTTTACTGCCAAAATCGAAATCCTATTGAAATTTTTTTAACAAACAACTTGGCCCCAGGATATGGCTAGTTTATGAGTTCAAGGAAAAATTTTTTGTGCTCATTCATTGGACTCGTAAACTAGACCAAAATCGGTTTCCAAAACAAAGGGCTAGAACGAACTTTAAAAAATTTAAAAAAGAGATCAGACTCAGAAGGATGGCAGCAGAGACTGGAAAATAAGATTCCTCAATTTTTTTTAAATTTAGGTTCCAGTCTTTCATCACAGTCTGAACCCAAGGAATAAGAACACAAACAGTAAAAACAAAACACTAACCAACTAAACCATCGAAAACACATAGGGAGATTGTTAATAAAGGATTATTTAAAGGCGGTTGCCATAAAAAGAATTATACCAAATTCTATTAACTAGTAAGCGGCAAAATCATTTTCCGGGCGCGGAAACCGGATTTTTGGATTTCACATTCATGCCGGATCGGATCCGGTCGGATTTTTCCGGATTAATCCGGTCCGGAAATAATCCGGAGATTGTGAAAAAATTTGAACCCAAAAAATAGATTTGGGACCCGGACTCCGGAAAAATCCGGCCGGAGTCGGTCCGGTGCTGCTCACTAATATTAACGAATTTAATTACTAAATTAAAAAATTTTTTAATTTAAAATTTACCATAGGAAATTTTAATCTTTTCAAAGCCGAATGAAAATCAGCATTTCTAGCAGCAATTTCATTTTGTCCAGCAGCAAAATGGGAACAAGCAAAACAAATTCCAGTTGAATTTATTGTTAAACGGACAGCTATAGAGCCTTTATTTCCTGTAGTTCCCCCCATTCCAGTTTTAATTTCCTCTATAGCCAAATCTTTTATTGAATTTAAAAGGGAGGAACGAGCAAAAAGGATTAAACAGACACCAACCTAGAAATAAAAAAAGATTAAAAATAATTTTAGGCAAAATTCAAATTACCGGCAAAATTCAATTTATTATTAATAAATTCAATTTTTTTGTTTTTCAAGGTTACTTTTAGGGCCAATATAAAAATTTGTGTTTGACATCTATGGCGAAGACAAAATAATTTCCTTAGACAAGATTCTTCCTTCTTATAAAAAAACCAAGAAAGTTACCAACCAGGGCAGTTCGCAATTTCGGACTGCGGATTACGTAAATTGCGTCATTTTTTGGACTTGCGGACTGACTCTATTGGAATGACCGATGTCGGAAAAGGAAGGTCAAGAAGCTAGATAGTTTTTCCCTTTTTTAATTTTAAGAATTTTAAGTAATTGGCATTTTTGAGGTATCGGAACCAAAAATTTACGAATCTCGAATTATCGGCTCAGCCTTCGGAAATTTTTGGAAAACAAAAAGGTGAGAGGCAGAAATTAAAAGTCCAAAAACCCCTTTCGGTCAAACACTTCCAAAAATCAAAAAAAATTTAAATTAAAAAATCCTCTCTTACCAATTGTTCACAACACAAAACAACAAAATTTTCAGCATTTGACCCAAAATTATTTTTTTGCCAAATTTCAATAGTTTGTTTTAATCCATCACGCCATATTCTTTGATTTGTAGTGCTTGCTTTAACCAAATTATTTGTATTTAAATCAACAATTTCTTCAAAACCAATTGCTATCAAATCATAATTTAAAGCTTCTTTATTAACTAAAATAAAATTTTTTGTATGAGAAATTTTTAAGGGAATTTTTTTTTAACTTTAGAGACCACATTTTTTATTTTTCTTCCTTCCTATTTTCCCCTACCCCTCCCTCTTGCAATTAAAATCAGTCAAAAATAGCGACCGGCAAAATCATTTTTCCGGGCCCGGAAACTGGATTTTAGGTTTCACATTCATACCGGACCGAATGCGGCCGGATTTCCACCTATTCTCCAAATTTATGATAAAGAATCTGTAATCCTTGAGTAATCTATCCAACTTCTTTTTTCAAGACAATCAAAAACGAAAATTTGGTATACCCAAAAAAATTAACCATTTTTGACTGATTTAATGAGGGAGGTAAAACAAAAGAAACCCAACAAAAAATCCCCCAAAAGATTCCCTTGCAATTTTACTTTACCCATATCTTCTCAAAAACCCCAAAAAAACCTCTAAAACCTTACACAAATTTTCAGGAAAAATCCAAGAATTTAGCAAATTTCCCCCTTTAAAAGCAACATTATTCAAATTCTTCCCTCCATTAACATTCCAAGTTCCACAAAAAATATTTAAAGGTATTTGAACACAAAATTCTTTTTCTCTTTCAACAAAAGCTTCCAAATTTGGGCATTCTAGTTAAATTTAAAAAATTAATTTTTTAAAAATAAAATTTTAAAAAAACCGTAAAAATAGGAAGTGGCTGAAATTAAAAAAAATTTTTTAATTCAAATTTCAAAAACTTGGCACACTTTGTTCATATCCACCAGAAATGTCATCGGGTTACCCGAATACAGGCTAGAGCTAAATGTTCAAAACCGACCCCACTTTATTTTCTCAACCCGTGATATCCTTGTATCGACACTGTTTCACCGGAACCGAAATTTTGACCGGAACCGGATCCAATTTGAGTTCCCGGATCCCGAGACCGGAACTTCCGGTGAAACTCTAATCGACAGTCCCTCTTTTCCTATTTGAATTTCATCTGACTTGAAATGGTGTCAAATTTCCTCTTTTTTTTCTAATAAATTTTAATTTTTGCCGTTGCAGAAATTTTTTTGCCTTCCTAAATAGGATCGACGTTCTCGAGTCGGACCGAGCGATACGAGTTTTTTTCGAGCCTATAACCTATGCCCGACTCACCCTTCGGAAGGGAGGGGAGTGGAATATGAACAAAGTATCAAAAAATAAAAAAAACCTTTCAATAACGAAGAAGGAAATATTTGTGAAATTTTAACAAAATTAGAATCAGCAAGTAAATGTCCATACAAAATTAAATCAAAAGCTTCTTGTTTTGAAGAATCCATCAAATTATTTTGAATTGTTCGAACTATTGAACGACTTGCATCTCTCAACTATGAAAAGGGGAAAAAATTTCTTCAGGAGCCCATTCACATGTCTAGAGAGCTACCGATTAGAACTATTTCCTATAATGCTTGAGGATAATAGGGTTGTCATTTTCAAACTGAACCTAAAATTTCGGCTAGGCTTGTCGATTCGGATAACCGAAGAAATCGGCGAAATGAATAATCCTACTTGAGAATTCTACTCTCCGCTGAATTTTGGCATTAAAAAATTTTAATTTTTAGCGCCACAGGCGAAAATTTTGAGAATTTTAGAAGACAATAGAAAAATCGAAATTTTTAGAAGTTTCACCACCCCTGGCTACTGCCCTGGGCGAGTTATCCAAAAAGTATCCTTAGAAGAGTTGGTCATGCCCTCGTCCTCATATTCTTAAAAAATCTGCTCTTCAATTAAACAAAAAAACCTTCGATTTTCCTTCCAAAGCCCCCGTTCCAGCATAAATTAAACTGCATTGATCCCCATTCTTTTGCCACATATCCCTAACCAATTCTTCACATCTCAAAATTATATTTGATTTAAATTTTTCTACACCAAGGCAAGTTAATTGATTAAAAAGTGCTCTGATTCCGATTAACTTAAAGGGGAAAATTTAAAAAAATTTGAAAAATTATTAAAAAAAACCGTCTGTACACTATTTGTCCTGTCAAGATTATCAAGACAATTGGTCCTAATTACACCGTGTTGTTTTCTAAAAAATTAAAAAAAATTTTTTTTAATTTTTTAAAAGGTATAAAATAGAGGAGCCAGAAGAAAACAAGGCTCTCCTATCTTTTCCAGTTATTATTAGGGTTGTTCCCGAGACCGGTTAATTTTTGTCTATGGCTGGTCAAACGGGACATTTGAAGGAAATTTGAGCCTACACAAGTGAAAATCAAACAGGCATGGACAATCCTAGTTAATTAATTTACACAAAAGACTTAATGAAGCCAACATTCTGCTCACACGGACACAAACATTTTCAGTCAATTTAGAGGATCAAGGGTTCAACTCCGTTCGAGACAATTATTTTTCAATTTTTTTTTTCAAAAAATGTTCAAAGGATCTTTTTTAGAGTTTTTTAGTGTTATTTGGAGTTCTCATTGTAAATTTTTTTAATAAAAAAGTTGAGTTTGGCCGTGTCTTTGAGCGAAAGTCTAATACCCCCTAAATTTAGCACCCCTCTTACCCCAAAATTCAAAAAAATTTCAAAAAAAAAACCTCAAAACAACTCCATCATCCAAATAAAAGAAATCATTTTCATCAAAGAATGAGCTTATTTGTTTAACCAAAAATCTCAAATTTTCTTTAGATTGTTTAACTTCTGCATGGTAATCAAATGAAACAATTTTTACATCAAAATGGGAAGAAGATTTTAATGCTGACTTTAAAGAAAAAAATAAAATTATTGGATATAGTAGAGTTAAGGACACACTCAAAAATAGGTCGAATTGGTCGGGCACGTGAGTCATTTGTGAGCCAACGATTTTATTTTGCGAAGTGATATCCATATAGGTATTTGCAAAATGATTTTGGGTCACGTTATGGCCAGTCAAAATTTAGACGTTTAAAGAGTAAATGAGCCAACTTCTCTCTTTCACTTTTTAGGAACGGAAATGCTCATGGACCGAGAGATATAGGTTCTCAAAATTGAAAACCAAAAAAGGGAAACAAGCTAAAAAAAAACCTGAAATGCTGTCGACAATGCAAATTCACCCTTTTTTGATCCAAGCAAATTAACAACCAAAATTTTGCCATAAACTCGTTTCAGTTGGATAAAATGTCTTTAAAAAATTGAAAAAATTATATTTCTTTTGTAAAAGACGGAATGAATCATTTAGCAACATTTAAAAATGCTTAAAAGGTAAAGGAGTAAAGGTCTGTCTTCCCCCTCTTTTTCTATACCAAAAAAAAAACAAAAAGAAGCAAGTTTGCCATATAGCCCACCGCCCTCTTCTAGAAGAAAAAAACCTTTGAAGCTTAAAAAGGAACAAGCACCTGTGGGTTATCCCAAATCAGTTAAAATAGTCTTTTAGCAGGTGTCGATTCCTGCCCCTCCACCCTCTTTTTTGGTATCATTCTATAGAAAAAATTCCCAGTTCAAATTATTTCTCTTGTGAAATTGGACAGAGGAGAGGGCGAGGAAATATCTATGGACCGAGATATATATGTAGTAGGTACCCAAAAATTTAAAAGCAGAGGGGGAATAAAGAAAAATCCGGGCATAAAAAAAAGAAAACCTCCAAAAATATTTTTGGAGTTTGTTTGAAGTTTTTTGGTAATTTAAAAATAACCAATAAAAACAAATTCTAGTGGGTTCCCTTCCTCAATAAAATTAAAAAATACTTTTCTAACGCAACCAATGAAAGTTCCAAAGGTTTCATTTTCACAGTGTGTGCACCCACATTAATTCCTGGTTGTTCCCAAAATAGGGGAATCTGTTAAAAATTTTTTAAAATTTTTCGAAAAAACCCCCTACCGATCCTCTGATTTGAAGAAATGAACATTCTTGTTTATCAAAAGTAACAATCTGAAAAATGGTAGACTAAATTTTTTAATAACCAGGAGTAATAGAAAAATATTGGGTGTGACGAGGGATGGGCTGGGTTAAGAAAAAAAGTCGGGTCAGGGTTTGGAAAATTCCTTCGGCCGGGTTTCGGGTCAAAAAAGATTGGGTTTCGGGTAATCGCACCATCACTTACACATGTCAGCACCTGAGATTCTGTCGACAGAAAAACCGAAATTCCCTATTTCGTGAAGGATCTCGACCAAAAAAAAACGTTGGAAATTCCCGACTTTCAGGAATCGGGACGGCAGGACCCCCTGATAGGCACGCAGCCAAGAAATTTTTAAAAATGTTGAAGTTCTTCTAATAAATCTATTCTATAGTGAAGTTTAATAGAAATTTTATATACCTGTTCTGTTTCCACAAAATTGGCAACGTTTCCATCATCCTAAAGAAAATTAAAAATCAAAGTGTGAAACGTTCCCCTGTTCAAAAAATATTTTTTAAACCTCACATTAATTCCTCTAACATTAAAACGAGTTCCAACATGTTCAAAACTTAGTCTCGATATAAGCATAATCTTTAAAAAATTAAAAAAATTTAAAAAAATAAAAATTTTTAAGAAACCTTTGCAGTTCTATGTCCCAAATAAATTGTTCTAATTAAAACAGAACCGCATAGACAACGAACAATCCAATCGTTTGGGTCGATTCCAAATCTTTCCAATGGAAAAGACAAATTTCTGTTCCTAAAATATAAATTTGTAAATTTGCGGACAGTCCAAGAGAGTTTTTTAGAATCATATTTTTAGCTGTACAGGCACAAGTTTTTGAATTTGGAGCGAAAAAATTTTGATTTTTTGCTCAATCCCCTCCGCAAATTTTTCTCTTTATCCCATTTCGAGGGGGTGGGCCGGCTTTAGCCCAGAAGCCCCTCCCTACAACCTGGGGACAGTCCGTAAAAATTGCGGACAATCAGCAAAAATACTTATTATATCGATGATTAGAAAAGGTATGAATGACCCAAGGGCGTAACTAAGGGTGTTGATTTCAGGGGGCGCTAAAAACTAAAACATTCCTTCTTACACTAATGTCTGCAAATATTTTGCGGACAAAATTTACGAGGAATTCTTTTTTAAATTAATTTAATCGCCGACTCATTTTTCCTTTCTAACAAAATTACTACTAAAAATTAAAAAAAATAACCAGAAAAACCGAAAATCATCTTCCATTTGCTCACTCGTCTGTTTTCTTTGAGCTGACACAGTCAAATCGAACGTTTTATCACGAACTGTTGAATTTGAAAAATAAAAGTTTCCAGAAGAGAGAAACCTCTGAAGCTTAAAAGGGAAAAAACTCAATTAAAATTAAGGCAAAATTGTCATGTATGTGAACGCCTTTCACATCTCTCCCAGAATTCCTCTCTTTATTTATCGCTGGAACAAAATTAACCAAGAAGGAACTATAGTGATAAGTATGACAATGTTGGGTGTCGAGCTGGGCCTGGAACAAAGCCTGGGTCTTTGCTGTAACCAGAGCCCAGGAATTTTTTGATCTTCCTGGGTTTTTCCTGGACTACAGGCTCGGGATCCGGCCTAGGTCAAACGGAGCCTTATCGATAAATGGAGTTACTGACCATTTTGTACAAATTAGATAAAAAATTGACAAGGGGAAAACAAAAAAGTAGTTACTAGACTCATTGTTAGGCGGTAAATATAGAGGAATTCTGGTAGAGATGGAAAAAAGAGATGTCACATAACCAGCAAAACCTTTCCAAAATAACCTCAATAATTCTCTGATCAGACGGCTCAGTTTCTCTTCGAATAAGTGAAACAAATTTTACGTTAGAAATTTTAAACTATAAAAAAAAAGAAAAAAATTAAACAAAAAATTAATTAAAAAACCACAAACAATGTCAGAAGTATAAATTTGCCCAACAGAAAGTACACCAGTTATTAATACAAGATAATCATCTACTGAAAATTTTTAAAGGTTTAAATCTCTCTGCTCTTAAATAGGAGGCTTATAGCGGTAAAAAGCAGTGTTAAGCGGCTTAGAACAATTTTAGACCCAAAATCCAATCCGATAAATAACCGAGAAAGCATGCCCAGAGTTTTCTCAATCTGTGACATCCATGCCCCAAAAAGGCAATAACCCCTAAATAACTTAAAAAAGGTAAAAGTGAAGTGCGTATACCCCCTTCCTTTTCCTACATCAAAGTAATAAAATGGTGAGACTTTGCTTACTTCATCAACTTGTCTCTATTTCCCTGTTGCCTACAATAAAATATAAAAAACGAGAAAAGCGTCAAATTTTTTAGGGATATCGGTTCATGTAAAATCTAGGGATATTTGGAATCGAACCGGGAAATCGCTTCTTCAATTCAGTTCCGAATCGACAAACCAAACAATATTTAATACAAGTCTGACCATTTTAATACAATGTGGAAGAAAACGAAGGGTATAGGAACTTTGATTTTACTGAAGCCACAAATAATTTAAAAAATCTTCCAACAAACCTGCCCCCAACTGCAAAATTCCAAGAGAAGCAAATCCATCCAAAATCATTTGATAACTTCCCCCAGATTTTAATAAATTAGCCAATTCTCTACTTATTTCATCCATTCCCCCAGATTGACACAAAATATATTTTTCATTTAAAGTAGCTTCCAACAAAACAGAATATTCGCCTGAATTTTGGGTAGAAGAGGAAGAACCATAAACGCGGATACCGCGTAACGCCATTGCTGCAGAGTTGTTGGCGAGGCTTAAATTAAGAAGCTTTTTCTATTTTAAATTTTTAAATTAACATTCTAACCAAAAAATAAATTTACAAAATAAAAAAAAATTTTCCGATAATCTTTAAAAATTAAATTAGTCCACTTAATCGCAAGGCCATTTAATCGCAGACCAGAATTTTAGAATAACTTTTTCCTCAGAATAATTTTTAAAAAATTTTTTAATTTTTTGTCTTCAATTGGCAGCGAAAAAGATTATTTCTACAAAAATACCAAAAGACTATCCATTTTATCAGAAAAAACGAGACTAAACGTCCTTTAGACGACTCCTCCTTACCGCGATTAAATGGGGCATTTTGCATTGATAAACCCAAATAGGCGCGCGACCTTAACGGCGTAAAGCCATAACATGGTGGAAAATTTTTGAATCTTATCTATTTTAGTACCAATCTCTTTAGCTCGACGAGAGGAATCGGTTAATACCAAATTTGGAAAGATGAGGAAATTTTGAAGCAAGTTATGGCTTTGCGCCGAAATGGCTGCGCGCCGGACTGTACCCTTTGCCTTCATCGGGCAAGAGACATTTGAGTCTCCCCCAGAGGACCCTTTACCTCTTTAAATTAATTTTAAAAAGACTTACTTTTCGTCTTTCCGAAATCGAAATTGTCGAACAGTTTTTCTAATTCTAGGCAAACTTGGAAGCTTTCTTTTTAAATTTTTTAATTCTTTTTTAGCAAAAATATTAATATTTTTCTTCTTCATTTTGTGGGCAAAAAATGATTTTCTCCCTCTCCTCATTTTAAAATTCACTCAGCCGATTATTCATAGTAAAAAGAAAAAGTTTTTTCTTCTGTTAATCATTTAAAAAACAAAAATTCCTTTTAAAAAATGAGGGGTATCTTCACCAAAATTTTTACAAAATTTGCGGATGTCCGCAAATTTATTTGCGGACAAATTCCAAATTTGCGGAAACAGTGAGACTTAAAAATCCCTTGCCCATCAAAATCGTGCGCAAAATCAAAATTCAAATTTGCGGACTTTAAGGACTTCACGAAAATTTTCCGTTTCGTGTTTTCTCCTCTTTTCTAGCTTAAAGGGAACTTAAGGTTAAGGAAGACTCTCCTCTTCCGTTCCTTTAGGATTCCTCTTTCTTTCTGAAATTCTTTACTTTCCAAAAAATCCTTTTTTTCTAAGGGCAATCACGAAACGTTTATTTACGTACAGATGGTTACGGACACTACCGGTTTCTCTAAAATGAGATTTAAAAGTCCCCTACCTAACAAATCAAATGTCCGCAAATCGAACAGATTTGCGGATAAACATTGCCACGGAGAAATGGAGTGAAACTGAGGAAAGGGGAAAGTCTGGCCATTATTTACATCTAAGGATTTATTACTGCGGGCTTGAATATTGGGAAACCTTATACAAATCAACTTTTATAGAAACAAAAAAACTTATCAAAAATTTATTTAAATTTATAATTTTAATATATTTTTATTTTTTGCAAAAAGCAACACAAACACACACATCTCTTTTTATGCAAATATAAGCAAAGGGGAAGGGGGGGGGGGGGTCTGAGGGGAAGTATAATTAATTTAAAAAATATTTTTTAATTTTTTTTTGTCAATTTTTTTGTTGCCTTTCTTTTCTCTCTCATTTTCTCTCTTTCCTTTAAAAATTTTTTTTTCGTTTCAATGTTGAATTCCTTTTAATAACAAAGAAATTTCATCAGCTATACAGCTAAATACACATTTAAATTGTTGTTCATTTTCAACCATTTTCATTCGTTGATCACGCAAATGTTCTAAAGATGCGGCGATGTTTAGTTCTTTTACTCCTGGAAATTTATAAGAAAATTTTTTTTGAATAGAAAAATTTTTTAAATTAAGGAAAGGCATAGGATTCAATATCTCTGTCTCAGTCTCGAGGCCATATTTTTGCCCATAACTTTTTCGATCCTTAACCGATTTAAATAATTTTTATATCAAACGAAAGCTCTGAATGTGAGGATTATTTTAGCTAAAAGGATTGATTTGATATAATCACCCTATAAAAAGTTATAGATGGATAACTGCGTGCAATCGTGATTTTTCTATCTTTATTCGACTTAAACATTTTATAGGACGTTCAAAAAACATTTAAACATTTTTATTTATTATTTAAATGTTTATTTCATGTTTTAAAATATTTACTTAATCAAAACCTATCAAATTTCCCTAAAAGGACTCGAACCCCCGACCCTAATTTAAGGAAAGTCCGCGCTCTTATCCACTTAACTAAAAAAAATTTTTTTTTCGAGAGTTAACACAAAATTCCCCTTTTTACTGACACTTTGTTTCTAATTTAAAATTTTGCCTTTATTAATCCGTTTTGCAGTCATGTCAATCATAATATACGTTCCAGTACGTCCACTTCCTTAATTTAAAAAATATTTTTTTAATTTCTTAATCGTTTTATACCATTAGTGCAGTGAACAAGTACAGGAGAAGCACGCCCACGATAAGATTTGTTCACCTTCCTGAATTTAAAAATTAATTTTCTATCAGGGAGACACTAGAGTGAAAAAAATGCGTAACCACAAAAATCGAATCACGAAATTTCGTGTTTTTAACTGGAAGCCGAAATTTCGAGATCTCCATTTGTTTCGAGAAAAGACGAAATTTCGTGTTTTAACTAAAAGCGAAATTTCGAGTTATTGACTTGTTTCGAGAAAAGACGAAATTTCGAGACCCCTTTCGTCCTCTATTGTCGAAAAAATAAATAGTAACCTTCTAAATTCAAGCAATGCTTTGTTTGAAGCTGGAACTCCACCAGCTGCCCAACTTGTGAAATGGAATTGTGTAACTGTACGTGTTTCTTGTGTTGCAGTATTTTTTAGGTAAAGTGAGCGGATGACGTAATGCTCGCTCCAAATGTGTTCAGAGACTAGATGGGCCTCAAAACAGCCGAACAGCTTCACTCCCTCCTCTGGCCAATACTTGAAGTAATTGTCCCCTTTATCACACAAATTGACAATTAATCCAATCCCCTGTTCCCAAATCATTTGCCAAAATTGAGAAGCTGTTTGTTCTAAAGGTGTTTGGGCGGCAATATAAGCCTAGAAAAAATTTAGTTTAGTAAATTTTAAAGTTGGACAGAATCTCTTTACTATCCCACAAGATGACAATTTATCCCAACACTTACTAGGTGGGATAGCTGAAAGCGAGGGATATGTGGGAGCTTTGGGGAAATTGGAAACGTAGACTGAACTAGGCTGGGATAAGTCAGAGGTAAAGAAATACCAAGTAAGGCAAGTCAGAGGTTTAAAATACAATGGGATAGGTCAGAAAACAAGAAATATCAACTGAGATAAGTCAGAGATTCTCCAAAAATTCCCCCCATTTACCGGTTATCCAACAATCCCTAGGTGGGCTAACTGAAAGCTAGGAACATGTGGGAGCGTTGGGAAAATGGAAACCTACATAGACTGAGCCAGGCCGGGACAAGTCAAAGGTCAAGAAATTTCAAGTGGGATAGTCAGGAGATTCTCCCAAAATTCCCCTCATTTACCGGCTGTTCCGGGTTCGAATCAAATATCATGCTAGCATTAATATATCCCTTCCCGTCACTCAATTCTGCCAAATCGTTTTCATGAAGTTGCACACGCGATTCATCATCTAAAAAGGCTCTAAGCTTCAAAATAAAATTCAGTTTTTTACATGGAAGCGTTCCACTATCAAAATTCTTCCCAACATTTTCTTCTCTTTTGGCCACCTTACATTGGGCTACCTCTTCCGATGCTTCATAATCCTTCACAGATTCCCATTGTTTGTTTATCTCGTTTGGATTCTCCAAATGTTTTTGTAAAAAAGCTAGGAGGACGTGCCCCGTCCCGATGTCCATATCAGACCCATTCGAAGCCCCAAAAGTCTCATTTTCGTGGAACGATGAAGTACTCGAATGCTTCGAACGTTGCCCACTCCCTTCTATCACAGCAACCGAATGGGGGATTGTCTCAGCCCGTTGACGGCACAATTCTGCATAGATTTTGTCGTCTTGCCCTATAGTCTGTGGAAGTATTGGCAACATTTTTTTATTTGAATCTCGTCGACGCCGAATTATTGTTGACGCTAAGACGGAGAGTAAAGCACAGATTGTCATTGCAGAAACGGCGAGGATTGGAATAAATAATTGATCACGTTGGGAACGTTCGACTGGAACGACATCCTAAAAATATGAGGGGGTTTTGATTGAGTTTTTGCTCAAAGTTTAGGCTTGCCTCTCCACTTCCAATCCCAGTTTCGTCAACGCGCACACCAGCAAGTGTCTAAATTAAGGTAAATGATTAGAAATTATTCAGATTAAAAAATTAAAAATCCCTAAGATAAAGTGATGAATTATACTAAAAAGACTGTGTAAAAAGAGGAGAGTATCTGTCAAACTTTTAGTTATTAAGCATAATTTTACAGCTTTAATTTGCTTCTATTGTTTTTCTGCTGTCTCTCATCACTCCCTACACTATTTTCTTAGTTTTAGAACAAGTTTTACAATTACAAAATCAAATTTACAATTAAAACTTGAATTACAAGTTTTACGATTAATAAAGGAATAATTCAAGTTTTATTGTAATTGTAAAACTTTAAAAATAAAACTTGAATTGCAATTACAACTTGAATTACAATATCAAGTTTTAAATTAAACTTGAACTAATAAAACTTGAACTACAATTACAAATTCAGGTTTTACAATTAATAAATTAATAATCCAAGTTTTAATTGTAAAACTTTAATTAATAAAACTTGAATTACAATCTCAAGTTTTACAATTACAAAATCAAGTTTTAAATTAAACTTGAATTACAATTAAAACTTGAATTATTTCTCTATTTTCCTCTCCCCTCATTACACTCTTTTCCAATTGTAAAAATTTACAATTGTAATTTCTCTCATTATATCCCCTACTATTTCCCACCTGTATATCTTTTCTTCTTTTATAAACAGCTTGTGCAATACCACTAGCACTATCAAC